GACTGGTGCCCACCGGCTGGTGGGCCCCTCCAGGTCCTGGGACTAGGGAGGACTCCAAAATGGTGCCTGCCAGCACCAGTGGCCTCTTGATAGAATGAGCTCCCAAAAAAGTGATGCAAGGAGAAAACCTACAACCAAAAATACCCAGCAAGGCTATCATTCAGAGTTGAAGGAGAGATAAAGAGTTTTACAGACCAGCAAAAGCTAAAAGAGTTCAGCATCATGAAATGGCTTGAAGCCTTTCATCTAATGCTTTCATCCTTTATTGATCTTTGCCTTAAATTATATCATTAGGATTATAAAATGGTGATTTTTCTAATTCTGTCATTCCTTTCACATATATTAGCTGGGAATTGTGTGTAAGGAAGAACTTTTCCTCATTAATTAGGGCTATTTGGTCATCCTGAAATGCAGATTGAATTGGAAAAGCAGGATAACGTTTACTTATTTCTCTTAAATTGCCAGTTTTCAGAGTAAGGGCTCAAACCCTTGTCCCCTGTATTGGCAGGAGGATCTTAACCACTGTGCCACCAGGGAAGCCCCCTGGTTCCTTTAAACGCAGAATGTCATTTAGGGACCACAGTCTGGGCACTAGAGGTTGCCCATTGCCCATGGGGTTTTAATGCTTCTAGGTCTTTCTGAAAAGTATAGAAATAGAAGGAAAAAATCATAAGCATATACTGATATTTCTAATTCAAATTTAATATTAAAATCTATTTAGGGACTTCCCTGGTGGCACAGTGGTTAAGATCCTCCTGCCAATACAGGGGACACAGGTTTGAGCCCTGGTCCGGGAAGATCCCATATGCTGCAGAGCAACTAAGCCCGTGCGCCACATCTACTGAAGCCCGTGCGCCACATCTACTGAAGCCCGTGAGCCTAGAGCCCCTGGTCCACAGCAAGAGAAGCCACTGCAATGAGAAGCCCACGCACCGCAATGAAGAGTAGCCCCCGCTTGCCACAACTAGAGAAAAGCCTGCGCACAGCAACGAAGACCTAACGCAGCCAAAAATAAATAAATAAATTTATTCAAAAAAAAAAAAAAGATCTGAACTCCTCAGTCTGGCATTTAAAGCCCTCCCAATCCTGTTCTAAATAAATAAATAAATAAAATCTATTTATATGAATGCCTTTGATTTTATATTTCTCTTCTCTTACACTAAAAATCTTGGTTCTTAATAGCATTAACATAATTACTTATTACTTTGTGCTACACTACATAAAAAGTAGTTTCAAAATACTAATGTAGGGCTTCCCTGGTGGCACAGTGGTTGAGAGTCCGCCTGCCGATACAGGGGACATGGGTTCGTGCCCCAGTCTGGGAGGATCCCACATGCCGTGGAGCGGCTGGTCCTGTGAGCCATGGCCGCTGAGCCTGCGCATCCAGAGCCTGTGCTCCGCAACGGGAGAAGCCACAACAGTGAGAGGCCCACATACCAAAAAAAAAAAAAAAACTAATGTAAAGACCTACTAGTGACATAACTACTGAGTGCAGTGTTAGATTTCTTTGCGGCTCTATTCTCCCTTAAAATATATTCCACTACGTATGTACAGCAAATATACCACATTGTAGAGTCACTTGAAATAATTGTCCTCTCTGTGCAGCTACATAATTAACTTCATATACAGTTAAGTTCATTGTTTTTGGTTTGTTTTAAAATCTTAGGAATTGTCCTTTTAAATTAAATTTAATTTTGAATGTGTAAAACACATTTATATGATTCCAAAGTCAAAAATGCATAATAAATATATTCAGAAAAGTCTCTTTTCCATCCTTGTCTCCTCTGCCCTGTATTATGTTGAATTGTATGAAATTGCTAAAGATTAACCATTTTATCAGCAAAAATGGCAATTTCTGTGGTTGAACCATAAATATATCCCCACCTTTCTTACAGAATAGACAGGTGCTACACATACTATTCTCTATTTTGCTTTTTTCGCTTATATATTCTAGAGATCATTCCTTCCCCTTCATTCAGGTGCATTGCCTTCCATGTGTGTATTGATGTACCACGACTTTTATTCAATCAAACCTCTATTACTGAACATTTGGATAGTTTCCAATATTTTGCTATTAAAAATAATGCCTCCACAAATAACCTTGTATGTCATTCCGTATTATAACTCAGTCCATATTTTAATTAGTAGGTATAAGGCCACCCTATCTGTAAGTGACCACCCCATGCCATACCCAGCCTAAGTCATTCATTCTGCTAAACATTTGTCCTGGTCTTTTGGTATCCACTGCCTTTTGAACACCCTTCTGATGTTAGGAGAATTTTCCCTTTCTGAGTCCCACTAAGTTAGAACGCAAAATGCTCATTCCCGTCCCTCTCCTTTGCAGTTAGGACACAGGCATGTGACTTATGCTCCTCTAATCAGATGCACTTGTGTGAGATTCTGGTGAAGAAAGTGGCAGTGAGAGGGGAAAGGCTGCACAGTGCACTCCTTTTGCTGGTGAGGCGGGTAGCAGAGCTATGTGGTTTGGGGAAACTGAAACGGTCTGTAAGGTACAGAAGTAACACTGACGCCTTTGGCAGCGGTGGCTGCAGTCAAATTGAGTTCCTGGTAGCATATGGTTACTGAGTGGTGACAGGGCATTGGCCTCAGTGTGCTTATTAGGCCAGCTGTGCTACTAATTTGGGGGGATTTTCCTGGAAACTTAGCCTCAAAATTGTTTCCTCCAGTCTTCCCAACAATTCTGTGAGTTACCCGATATCCTTTAAATAAATCCCTTTTCTGCCTAATCTGCCAGCATCAGCTTCTGTCACTTGTGGCCAGGAAATAATTTATGTAGCAGATCCTGGGAGTCAGAGAGGGTAAAGTTTTAGCTACCACAGGGGCCTGATCATCCTCTGACTTGCACTTTCACCCTTCTTCCTTCCTCCTAAGAGTGCTTGTGAGTTCAGGGACAGAAGGTCTGTGGTCTAACAAAATTAACTGGGTCATTAGGGGCCCAGAAGCTCTTTTGCAGGAAGCTCCTTTGACAGTAGTCAGTCATAAGGAGTAGAAAGTGTTTTCCTGATTGCTAGAGGAGAAGAAGAAAGACAGATGTCAGTGATGGGAAGGAGGTCAGCAGTGGCCCAGCAGAGCTCCTGGGGTCAACAGAGCAGAAGGGTGGTGAAACCAACAGACAGAACAGAGGGACTAAATGTTAGGAATCTTACCCTCACTCTTAACATTTCTCAAGTGAATAACTGGGGCAGGAGATCTAGAGAAAAAAATACAACTTCCAGATCATATGATATTGCTTGTATGTGGAATCTAAAAAAATGGTACAAATGAACTTATTTACAAAACAGAAATAGTCACAGATGCAGAAAACAAACTTATGGTTACCAAAGAGGAGGGTGAGGGAGGGATAAATTGGGAGTTTGGGATTAGCAGATACAAACTACTATATATAAAATAGATAACAAATAAGGACCTACTGTATAGCACAGGGAACTCTGCTCAATACTCTGTAATGACCTATATGGGAAAAGAATCTAAAAAAGAGTGGATATATGTATATGTATAACTGATTCACTTTGCTGTATACCTGAAACTAACACAGCATTGTAAATCAACTATACTCCAATAAAAATTTTTTAAAAAAGAAGATAGAGTCTAAAGAATCTCGACTTGGTGTCATCTTGTGAGTGGACCCATCCGGACCCAGTGACAATCTAGACAAGACCATGTGTATTAAAGCTACTAAACTACTGTCTCTCATAGATGGTAACTATTTCCCCCACCCAGTTTATCATTTCATTTCGTGTTTGTTGACCAAAAAGTTTTAACAGCATATACTTGATTTTATTGATACTTTTCTTTGTGACATTTTTCCATTACTTTTATGTTTAGGTAACATATTCCCTTTCCAAAAATATGTTCAATATTATATTTTATTTTAGTTTATTATGGTTTTATTTATTCATATGTAACCCTTTATTCCATCTAGAACTCATTTTGGTATATGGTGTGATCACCATGTGTCTCAGTGGTTGGATAAAGCTGACAGGATAAAAAAAGGCAACTTTAGGGCTTCCCCGGTGGCGCAGTGGTTGAGAGTCCGCCTGCCGATGCAGGGGATACGGGTTCGTGCCCCGGTCCAGGAAGATCCCACATGCCGCGGAGCGGCTGGGCCCGTGAGCCATGGCCGCTGAGCCTGCGCGTCCGGAGCCTGTGCTCCGCAACGGAAGAGGCCACAACAGTGAGAGGCCCGCGTACCGCAAAAAAAAAAAAAAAAAAGGCAACATTAGACATGATTTTCGAATTAAAATAATGTTGTGCAATAATGAGATACAGTTTTGTACCTTAAAAATTATCAGGTGTTAAAAAAAAAAAAAACCTAGTGAAGGTGAGCATGAAGGAAAATGGCACACTTAAAGTGCTGTTTTCAACTTAACCATTCTGTTAAGAGTCTTTAGTTAAATAAATAACAAGCAAGGTAAGAAAAGAAAAAGAGGGAAGCTATTAATTAAAGAAAACGTATACAACCCAATACAAATGTGGACTTTAACTCATGATTCAAATAAGCCAACTTTAAGAAAAAGAGAGACAGTTGGAATTTGAGCACTGACTGTATGTTTAATGACAGTAAAGAATAACTCCTTATTTTGTTAGTTGTAATAATTATGGATATGTTTTTAAACAAGTTCGTATCTTTTAGAGATACATACAAAAAGATCTGATGTCTTGGATTTACTTCAAAATAATGCAGTGGTTGGGAAGAGGAAAGGATATAAATGAGACAAGATTGGCTGTAAGTTGTTAATTGTTGACGTTGGGTGGTGGGTATACGAAGGTTTCTTATACTAGCCTTTCTATTTTTACATACATTAATATTTGGATTTTTGCATAATAAAAAGTGACAAAAATGGAGATAAAAAAACATAGTGGCAATGACGCAGCAGGGGGAATTGTTAAATATTCCTAGTTAGGTAATGAAACTCCAGTTTCTTGGAGTGGCACAATTGGGCCAGATCATGGCCTCACCTAAGCTGACTGCAACTTACCAGTGTCCATGGAATTTCAAAAACAGCAAATCTTTACTGAGAGACTTCTGTATGTCAGGTCCAATGTCCTTCCACTGTGAAGCAGAAAGAGATATGCAAAGTACCATTTACAAAAATAGTATAATGAAATCATTGCTCCCACAAAAAGTCCATAAGAGTCATCTAAAATAAACATATGTCATTTGTGGAATTTTTTAAATACATTTTTTTAAAGAAAAGAATAAACCAATCAGACCATGTCATATTGCCATTTAAATTGATCCACAAATTTTCTAATTGTCATCAGGACAAACCTCCTTAGCCAGACCTACCTCAAGCCCCGAACCTGCCTCCTTCCCCAGCCCCGTCTCCTGCTTCTCATCCCCACACACCTTAAACTTCAGCCATTGGAAGGAACTTGCAGTTCCCAGAACATATCTCATGGAGTTTATGCTCTCCTGGGGAAGTTTCATTCATTCATTCAACGGCATTCATTGGTCTCCTCATCTGGCCCAGGCCCTATGCCATGCTCCGTCTCATCACCACCAGGTCTGCCTTTCTCCCCCATCAGTTCATTCTTCCAGCCTCAACTTACTTGTTTGTTTACATGTTTCTCTGAGAAACATTCTTTGAACCACTCAACCTGAACGAGGTGCCCCTCTTCTGTGCTTTCTATATATGAGGGTATATGATGGGCAGCAGGGGAGGACAGGGGACATGTCTTATTTCTCCCACTAGACTCTGAGGGCAGGGATAAAATCCTATTTAGGCACAGTATGTAGTTTAAGGCCTGAGTTGTATTAGAAGATCAATAAATGCTTGTGGAATAAATGAGTGAGTGAATGAATGAAGCCTCCCAACTAGCATGTAAACCCACAAAGGCAAGAATTTTTGTTGTTTTCTTCTGCTTTATCCTTAGCACCTAGGACAATACCTGGCACATTAAATATTTGTCAAAATAATTAAAGTTACCTGTCAAGGAAAAACAAACAAGGAGTTGTACATTGTCTCATGTGCAAACTGCCCATTTGTTGTGGTCGACCCATCTCTCGTTGGCAAAAGACTGATTCAGGACTAAAAAAGGAATTAGAGACAAAAAGTGTTCTGGAGGTCAAATGCAATGAATTGAGTTAGTACCTTATATTTAAAACCTAACTCTAAGTGCAAGAAAGAACAGTACATTTATTTTTTTTACATGCATTGTTTTAGAAGTCACTAAGCAAAATGTTGATTGCACTTCACCTAAAAGAAAAGTCAGCATTTTGGGGGCTTAAGTAGATTCTCATCTGACACAGGTCATCTTCTATGTGCCCTATTGCCTACGGATCTGGAGAAATATATCCAGCAATGGGGTAGCACATGATCTCCTACATCTGGAACAGCTGGGACCCAAGGAAAGCCATACGTCATGAATGATATCACCCTTATTGATCTAACTTTTAAAAGACAATGGAATAATTTCTTCTTGCGCAAACCTTACTACAGTGGTTTGGACCAGCAACTCCATAGTGGGATGATGGGAGGGCTGCATGGACAAAGGACAATTGTTGAACTCCCACAGCAGAAGGATGGTTTACAAAGTGATCTTTCTTAGGAGTTCTGCCTGGGACTATTGTACACCACATGGCAGGTGCTCTGACATAAGTAAGGCCAAATTGGATTCCATTTGGATTTCTTTTCTTTTTGAAACCATCCTTCTCTAGAATTGTCCTCTCTAAAAGTCACTAGAACAACAGGGGGGGAAAGTGAGATCTTGAACTCCCCAGGGAATCAAGGCAGACTTTCCTTCCCCTTTCTTTACTCATCCACTTTTCCATGGCTGCCATTCACTGGGACCTCATTTGAGAGGAGGTTTTATTTCCCTGCTTTCTCTCAGGATTCTGCCTCAAATAATGTTCACTGGCTTTTCACAAAGAAAACTAGGACTCCCATTTATTTTATCCAATACACAGCTACATTCAACCTTGAAAACAGTATGCATTGCATTATTCTCTAACAGGAACAAATAGCAGAATGGAGCCTGACTATTTTCCATGAGGCTGATTTTTGCTAATCAAACGTATTTATTCTCTGAACACTTTCAGTGCCTATTGAGAAATAAGTGGTACCAGAAAGGGCATATCTTCCAGAATGCAACTTAGAAATGTATAGAAAATAGATAATATTGAGGTCTTCATGTGAAAGTAACTCAGTAACTTGTAGAAGGGCAGTAGGGCCATTTTGTAGTACCATAAAGATACGCACTACACACACTCTTCCACCTAACAATTCTGCAGGATTCTATCTCACAGAAATGCTCATACCTGGGAGTAAAGCCATATGAATGGCACACTGATTGAATCACATGTAGGAGCCACATGAACTGACAAAAAGAGACACACTATATATTGTAACGTGATAGAAGTAAATTGCCAAGTAATATGTAATATAAGATTCCATTTTTGTTTTAAAAAAACCCACACTGTATGTATGTAGATGCATATTCCTATATATATTTATAGATATAAAGAAAAAGCCCAGA